ACCTTCCACAGTCAGCGTCTTAACCACTTGAGCCACCGCAGCAAACCAGCTCCTCAGAGTACATTAGACCATACTAAATTGTATTGAAATTACTTCCTAAAATCTCAGGGGATGGAAATACTGTTTTATTTAGTTCTTTAGTAACACGGTCTCTGGTTAAAGGAGTAGTAAACAAAATGAAGATTCTGATTGGTGTCCTTAAGATTACGTTTGCATTATATTTTAAAATGCATTATTTAATGCTGGGGACATTAGGATCAGAAAGAGTCAGAGAACTTACAATCTGATCGTTCCTGGGCTCTTTTCACAGATTTATGTTGCACAGAAGCTGATTCTCTGTGCAACGTTTGGTAGCAGCAGGGCCTCACAGGTGTAAAGAGAGGCCCGAGCCCCCACTGCAAATGGGAGGTTGGGAAGGCCAGTATTTCTGTGTCTGTAACCAAATTGAGCTGCGGTGGCTCAAGTGGTTAAGACGCTGAACTGCAGGCTGTGGAAGGTCAGTAGTTCAGCAGTTCGAGACCCGGGTGCCACATGACGGAGTGAGCGCCCGTCTCTAGTTCCAGCTCCTGCCAACCTAGCAGTTCGAAAGCAAGAAATTGCAAGTAGTAAATAGGTACCACTTCGGTGGGAAGGTAACAGCGTTCCGTGCGCCTCGGTGTTTAGTCATGCCAGCCACATGACCACGGAAACGTCTTCGGACAGCTCTGGCTCTTCGGCTTTGAAACGGAGATGAGCCTAGAGTCGGATTCGACTGGCTTTCGAGCAAGGGAACCTTTACCTTCTTAACCAAATTAAGAGTTAACATCAAAAGTGTGAGGCCCCCTGAGAACGTGAGGCCTGGGCCAAATGGCCCTGCTGGCCCTCCCTCCCCCATCTCAAAGGCCCTTGAGTAGCAGTGCAGAGAGCAAGGAATGGACTTTAGGTGCTAAGTTGTTCTACTAATCGCCAGCTCCCTCATGTTTCTGCTGGGGCATTTCTCCAGCTCTCTTTGCACGGGAGGTGTGTGTGCCGAGTGCTATCGTGTCACTTCCGACTTCTGACAACCCTATGAATTAAGGGCCTCCAAATTGTCCTATTGCTAACAGCCTTGCTCTGGTCTTGCAGGCTGAGAGCCACAGCTTCCTTGGTTGAGTCAATCCATCTCATCTTGGGTCTTCCTCTTTTCCTTCAACTTTCCCCAGCATTATAATCCTTTCTAGTGACTCTAGGCTTCTCATAATGTGATCAAAGTACGAGAGCCTCAGTCTGGTCAATTTAGCTTCTAGGGATGTTCAGGCTTGATTTGATCTTCTTCTTCTTGTTGTTGTTCAGTCGCACAGTCGAGTCCGACTCTTCACGAGCCCATGGGCCACATCCCGCCAGGCCCTCCTTATTTGTCTTTTTGGCTGTCCATGGTATCCGTAAAACTCTTCTCCAGCACCACTTTTCAAATGAGTCAGCTTTCTTCCTGTCAGCATTCTTCATTGTCCAGCTTCCACACCTGTGCATAGTAATGGGGGATGCTGTGGCATGAACGATCTTGATCTCTGTCACCAGCAATGCTCCCTCTAAGCTGTGGAGTCTTGTGAGCAAAAATTCTACTTTGTGAGCTGCTGGCATTAAAGTTGTGAGCGAGCGATTTGGCTGCTGCATCATTTAGTTTGCTCTGAAGCCCTCCTTCCTGAGCTGAGACAAAAATGGGTGAGCTGGAGGATAAAAAAATGTGAGCTAGCTCACACTAACTCAGCTTAGAGGGAACACTGGTCACCAGTGATACTTCAGGATCTTTTCTAGCTCCCCTTCCCAGTCTCAGTCTCCTTCTGATTTCTTGGTTGTCGTCTCCCCTTTTGGTTGATGATGGAGCCAAGGAATAGAAATCATTAACAATTTCGATTTCTTTGTCAACCTTAAAGTTGTGTAATTCCTTCACCACCTTTAACCTTCACCAGTCGTCGTTTCAAGTCTTCAATATTTCCTGCCAGTAATGTGGTATCATCTGCATATCTTAAATTGTTAACGTTCCTTCCCCCAATTTTTTTCTCTGCCTTCATCTAAATCTAGTTCAGTTCTCCTTATGATATCACATATCGATTGAAGAGACAGGGAGATAAAACGCCGCCTTGTCTGACACCTTTGCCAAGTGGAAATCATCCTGTTCCCCCCCCCCCCATCCTGTCCTAACAGTAGCCTCTTGTCCAGAGAGTAGGTTGGGCATCAAAGCAATGCGATGTCGCGGCACACCGATTTCTTTCAAAACCAACCATACCTTTCATGATCCACAGTCAAAAGCTTTGTTGTAATCTATGAAATACAAGCTGAGGTGTGACCTCATAGTATATTTAACACCAGGGTCCAAGTATATACCTGCCTCTTCAGGGCAGCCAATGGAGCGAGGAGGCGGGCTTCAGAAGAAAGGAAATTCTAGAAGCAGGAGGACCTGGATAACAGTTGCCTACAATTTCTTCCGCTTATTGAATTTGCCCAGTTTGCCAGACCTCGTGAGTCAATTTATCCATAACATCCTTCAAACATTTGATGGTGTTAATTGCTGCATCTGAAACACGAGGCCCTTGAGCAGAGCCACAGTCCCATTCTGACCATGAGTCCCAGTCGTGCCACTCCCAGCATCTTGTCTGTTTTGGCCTGCAGTCTTTAAGACGCCGAAAGGGACATTCTGCTGGTACGTTTCTCAACAGGACAAGACTGGTTGTGATATTGACAACCATGTGTATCCATTC